CCTGGAGAATCCCATGGACAGTGGAGCCTGGTGGGCTACAGTTCAAATCTCTGATCAGAAATACAAAACAAGTAATAAAACCGAACAAAGGTACATGAAACTCGAATCACTTACTTCTTCTCTGGGGTAGAATTAAGAATCAGTGCAAATAAAATGGAAATAAAGGCTATATGGAAAGCCCATATATTTGCAAGTCAATCCTCTTTAATGGAGAATGGTCATAACTCTCAATCTAAATAAGCATTTTTTTTCTTGACTTATAATTATGGAATATTTGAGCTGGAAATGACCTTGGAGATCATATACTTAAACTTCTTCACTGTTCACAGGAGGGAATTCCTTTAGCACTAGGGAAAATGAGCTCTCATGAAGTGATTACTTACTTAATAAAAGAATCCAACTCTTGTTCCTGCCCTATCTAGAACTATTTCTCTTATGCCACACTGCCACAGTCCAGTAGGAAAAAGGAAAGATAATAAGCAGCCTTTTGAGAGAGGTAAAACCTTAGGCATTTTTGAGTAATGAACCTCTCCTTAACGTTCATAAGAAAGGCAAGGTCAGAGTCAAAAACTTTATAGCCATTAAAAGTCAGCAATGAAGTATATTTGGGAAGCTTGATGTACTGCTGCTCACCGGGTCGCAAAATGTCAGACACGACTTAGTGACTGAACAACAATGAAGTATATGTACAAGGAGTTCATGACTGAGGTAGGATGTGAAGGAAAGTCTGTAGTACAAAGTTGCCTCGTATTGTGAACCTCTGAGAGTTCCTTACTTTCATAAGCATCAGATTCATTTATTCAATTTTATAAATAAGTAGCAGCATAAATTTTAAAAGGGAAGATTTCATTTCTCTCTTATTTGTATACTTATACTATAGTTTTTCACTTATTTTTTCAAATATCACTAGGAAAAAAGGTATCACTCTTTTCTCATTTTTTAAACCCTAAGTATCAGTTGTGTCAGATGCGTCAGGAACTATAACTACGTGAAGAAACTGAGTATGCAAAGATGAAAAACACAATGCTGTGTCTTAAAGATGAGGCTGATGTTGCTAAGTCGCTTCAGTCGTGTCCGACTCTGTGCGACCCCATAGTGGAGGGTAAATGGCTTGCTGTGTATTAGAAGAAGGCACTGTCCTGGGTGGCTAAAACACAGGAATAAAGGAGGAAATTAAGGAGACAAGGAGGCATGCTATGGAGGAGTCAGTGTTGGAAAAGATGTAGGACCCTGAAGCCTTGTGTGTTTATCAACCTTTTGAGAGAGGCAAGGACTTTTAAAAAAAAACAACAAGCTAAGAGGCCTGGAAGTCGCCAGTTTCTCTCAGTAGGAAGAATCTTCTGAAGACCTCTTTAAGGGAGATAACTGCTAATGCTTAAGCTTTAACTTAATGAAGAAACTAACCTGTAAAGGAACTAAAAAAAAACAAACTGGGAAATTCCTCATGATGTGAGAGTTCTCTTAGTCCATATCCTCTACTTCAACCCCATCTGGTGTCACAGTGTATTAACTATTTGTAGGCAGTATACCAAAGATTGGATAATACAATTTAATAAAAAGTGGCAATGAAGTGCACCTAACACAAAGATGAAAATAAGATTTCAATAGGTATAAAGTAAAACATGCAAGACAATAAACATATTCAATGCAATATACCTTTTAATCAATAAGAACTACAACTAATAAAAATTATTTGGTATTATTTCAAAAACTCTCTTGATAAACATGAGCCTAATGCTTTGATCAATAATTGCTATTATAGTTTTGCATTCTGACCTAGTTTGGTTTTTATATTATATCTAGCTGTTCCTATATAAAGTTATATTTATTGTTGCCCCTAGATAATTCTGTAAATAAGATGGAAGTCTCAAAGGTTTTAATTATCTCAGTTAAATAGGAGTTACTAGTTTTTCTAACACTAATACTTGAATTCTAATTATCTTCCCAAATAGGGCTTTGGATTTTTTCATTTGAATTCACTGTTCTAGGTTATGGTCGGGAAATTGTCCCTTTATGAGGCTATGTGTTGGGGTTTAGTATTTACGCAAAAAGATACAAAATGATTTAGGAAGCAGCTAGGTAATAAGCTGGTTTAGCTAAAGTCTTCTGAAACCTAATAGACATCTTCAAAATAAACTAAGAAAATAAAATTTCTCATTATCATTTCTTTCCTCAAATTCACAGGATGATCATTTTGCTATATGCCCTACAGTGTTTAAATGATAATAGAAAGTCTCTTACCACAAATTTGAGGATTACTGAAAACTAAAATCCATAGATTTCTCATTATTATTCCTTTCCTCAAATTTCCAGAATGTTCATGTTATTAAATGCCCAAGAGCTTTGAAATGATTATAGGAAGTATCTAATTACTAATCTTAAGGATTACTTAAATCACATCTACCATTAACATTTACAAGAAAACTCAGGATAGCTCTTCTAGTATACCATTTCAGCTAAGTAGGTAGAATATTAAAAAAAACACACAACCCTTAAATCTACTGGTATATGTCCTCACAGATATACAATAACTATGGTGAATAAAATTCACCATATGTTGTTCTTTGAGTAGAGATGGTCAGTGGACTATCTGTGACATACACAAATTTCCCAGTTTAAGTAGTTGAGAAGCACATGAAAGAAATAGTAATGTCGTATGCTGGAGAGGAAAAGCATAACTTTTTACAACTTTCAGAATATAACCTACATGAGAGCAAAGCAAAATGTCAAAAGGAGCAAAAAAAGCCCATAAGGAGAAACGCAGTGTGAGTTGGGACACGTCCTTTGAGGCCAAGTAACCCTAAAACACACCAAGGTTCCTTTGTGTCCCTGCAGCTCCTTCTCTTTAATCAAGGGTGGAGTCTGATTTTTACCATCTCAGCAAATTCATGGTAGGGACACAGCACATGGTCCAGATGCCAATGGGTGAGATGAAACCCATGACATACCTAGCCCAAGATGAAAAGGAAACAGTGACATGCAGCCTTCCCTTCTATCAGGATTGTGATGGTGTAGCTTTGTCTGGTCTGAAATCTCAGTCTCAGAATTTGTTTAATTTAAATCCACAACATGCATAGGTCCTCTTATGACAATAGCGAAAACTCTAAAATATCTTAATTTGTCTACATTAATCCAAATCTCTTAATGTTTCTTCCAAGCTGCAGTCTACTGTCACCAACTTAGCATAATTCTCCTCTCAGGACTCAGACCTCAGATTTAAAGTGTCTCCCAAGAGTGAAAACCTGAATCAAGCTGTGACTGCCTGCAATCCCCCTTTCACTAGGTACCAGGGCTCAGTGGAGGGAACCCTTCCTCGCCTCTCATTTCTGACACTGAGGGTAGAAATGAAACATTATTTTTCTAGTTATCGAAAAACTACTCAGAAAAAGTTTGTGCTCATTCAAAGCTGCAGAAGAAATCATGACTTGGATATTTGAAACATTCTGAAACACTGTTTGAGTCATAAATTACATTTCATTTTCATTATGCACAAAATATTTTTTTTGCTCCCCAAAGGCAAAATCAACAGAAAAATGTGTTTTGGGGACTACTTTACTTCTATGCTGACTGAATACCTTATAATGCAATATAACACTTCATTAGTCATTTTGTAGTGAATAAAGTTCTTAAAGTAGAGAATAAGGTAGACATAATACAGGAAAATGAAAAAAAATCTGTATTTCAAGCTGTTACTTTTATTTTTGCTTTGCGATTACAATATAGACATTTTGTCAAATATCCTCAGGCTCCTTAGTTTGATAAATGGTATTTTACTCTCTATTCTCTAGGACATTTTTACCTTTTCTATTGTTCTAGAATATATCATTCATAAAGGAGAATTCTAATAGAAAAAAATGTGTCACACAAAACAAATAACAAAGCCACCAATTCCAAACTAGTTTAAACAGTAAGGCTTCCTGACAACCTGTCAACATCATTATCATTGATGGTTTTATTACAAACCTAAGGGAGTGTTTTGTGGTAAATCTAAAGATGACATGTTTCCAGTTCAACTACCTGTTTCTTCACCTTGCCTCTGGTCTACCTCCTTCTTCCCCAAGAAAAACCAAGGCAATTAAGCAAGGTTGTAGTTCTAATTATCAAATAGCTATTAAATGAAATGACAGTTTTTTCAGTGAAGATTTGATGTAATAAGCATACAAAGAAGTCCCACATTAAGCAAGCTTTCTACTAAAAGTGGATCATGTAACAACGAAAAAAAAATGCAGAAATTAAACGAATGGCTTACAATGAATCAAAATGCACATTTTACCTTCTCAGTCCATCAGGGCAGGGCACTCACAGTACCTACCATTCACTGGAAAATGTCCAAACTAAGGGCCCTGGATAGGTGTGTAAACTCCACAGCAAGTAATCACTGCCAAGAACCACTATGTCACACCAGAGAAAAAAACCTGAAAACGCCTCTTTGTAGAGTTCCCAGAAAAGTTTGACTTTTCTGGAATTTCAAATAAATATTATTAATTTAAAGAAATAACTTTCACTGTCAGAAGAGAGTGATAAATGAAACTAAGAAAAAAAATACACTGAGCTTGGAAATGTCCTCATGAAAATAACAATTTCCAGGTTAACACCACACATTTCCATTTTGGTGGTATTCTTGACTTATCTGAATCCTTAACTTCAAAACTTCTTTTATTTTGTATTACCCACATCTGGCTAAAGAGAAAATTCATTGTTTAAGAGTTCTCTTTAATCCTCTTGTCTTTATCTGGTCTGCAACAGCTTTAGAATGAGCCCATCAGAGTAGCTTTAATACTTTGTAATGGATAACCTGTTGTGACATCATCTGGAATGACTTGACTTATACTAACTAATTTATCTACATTTCTGCATCACAGAGGTCAATTTTTTCCTTTCCTATTGATCAGTAATTCATTTTATTCAACCAGCATTCAGACTTTATACTAAAGTATGCATTCATTTATTCTACGTTAGCTCTTTGGCTTATTATAGACTTCATGGAAAGATCAACTTACCACACCATCTCTTGGACCTGCCGCTCCCAACATAGCCTTCGGGGTTGTATAGTATTTAATCTCTGCTGTGGCCTTAATGATTCCATCACAGTAGACATCAACACTGACAGAGCCAGCAGGAAAATCTGATAAAACACAAATAAGAGGGGCTGAGTATATAAATGCATGTACCATATTATTACATCTCTTAGAGAATATGAAGTCAGGTTTTAAGAATTCATAACAATTTTACTAACTTTTAACATGTAATTCTTTTCTTTTTTTATCCTTAGCAGTTAGAAATCACAAAACATATATTTTTGCACTTAATTATTTAAAAAAACTTAACAGATAAAAATATACATTAAAATTACAATAAAAGCAAAGCAATAAATCTTTTCTCCTTACCCTGTAACCTTTTTGGAGTAATCTATAATCATTTCTATATAATATTTCAGAATTTAGAACAGTAAAGTTATTCATTAAAAGTTAGGCAGTTGTTGCTAATCTGAGAAAGTTAGTTCCCATTAATTTTCAGGAGGTTCTTAAAATTGTTTGGCAAAAGAAAGAGTAGAGTTGATTGAAATTGCAAAAACTTTTATTCAATTGATTACAATGAAAAACCCTCAGGAAGGCAAGGTTTAGTACCCTGTTATTTAAGTGCCATTTATACTAACCATTCAGCCTTTTTGTGAACAAGCTGTTCAAAGTGACTGACTGATACACTGCATTGTAAATTCTGCTGTAACACATCAACAAATACACAGTTACCTAAGACTGCTGTGCCCTCCATGAAAGGATAACACCAAATAATCACTTCAGTGGAAAGTTGTGTTTTATTGTAACAAAAGTAAACAAAATTTAGCTCTTTAAACTCGTTCACAGAGCACGCTTCAAAAACTTTCACTCTTTGTCACAGAGATATTTCCCAGATTCTCCCGAAAAATTGTTATCAAAACTTCTGCGGTTTGGGATAAGCTGTTAAGTACAAGCCATCTGATGAAACCATCTGATGAAATGTTAAATATTTTAAAGTTCTAAAGGTTTAAGCATTAGTTTTACTTTATCTCCTGAAGAAGTTAAAGGACCTCTCACAATATTGCTTAGGGAAATCTGAAGCCAAAATAACAATCTTAGATTTAACTAGATCAAGAAGCTGAAGTTCCTCTTCTCATATTGCTTGACCAGACACTTAACCTGCATTATAAAAAAAAAAAAAAAAAAAAGTAGAAAAGTTCTCCCAATAGAGAATGTAACAGAAATCTCAAAGAACTGGAAGTAGTAAAGTATACCTCATCAGCTACAGCTATGTGTATATATAGTTAAGGGGTTCTGGAGTTACTGGAGTGAAATGAAATCAATTTCAGTAGATTTCATAAAGACGATTTTGAAAGCAACTATTGGTTTTGTTTATCAGAAAACAAATCAGGAGTTTTATGATGGGATGTTAACCTTCTGAAAAGTCAGATGATAAATCACAAAAGATATATGGTGAGAATATATAAGATACTTATATACTTACATACTTATATAAGATACTTAAAATATTCTACTTTCTTTAGAATTTAACATGAGAATAAACTGATATATTCCTGATGTCTTAAGTCATTAGTTGACATAAAATTTTACCATTAGATCAACTGAAAATGATGTTGATTTTATAGAAATCCTCCAAAGGGATGCCATTTGAAGTACTGCTTTTGCTGCATACACTTTCATATCTATTGAATGTCATTTATTCAGTCAAGACCTAATTATTGCATCCATTGAAATAACAGGAAGGACTCTTATGGCTTCCTCTGGTAGAAAGACCCTCCTTAGTAACATATTAAATGAATTGGCTTTTTCCTGACCAGTACTCTGTGGTCACTATATTGTCTATATTGTATAGCAATTCAGTAAAAATAAAAATTAATTAATTTAAAGACTCAACAGAAGAGAGGAAAGTGAGTTCTGTTGTTTACTATCTAGACAAAGTAGGCAAGTGACATTTAACACCAGAATTACACACAAATGCAGGTCAAGATCACCAAACTAAGGAAGCATATGAGAGTCAGTTATGAAGATGAAAAAGGATGTATCATGGAAGGAAAAGATGGAACTCCCTACCTCTATCAGACATACATACATAATAAAATATACTTACAGAGGAGCAGTGGTTAAAAATGAACTCTATTTAAATTTTAAATATCAAGTTCTAGGCCATTCAAGAATCTCTGACAACACTCCCTGTCTCCACTATTTAAGTGGTCTATTCTTCCAGGTGGGCCTCCCCGGCAGCTCAGATGGTAAAGATTCTGCCTGCAATGCGGGAGACCCAGGCTTGATCCCTGGGTTGGGAAGATCCCCTGGAGAAGGGAAAGGCTACCCATTCCAGTATTCTGGCCTGGAGAATTCCATGGATGGAGGAGACTGGCAGACTACTGTCCACGGAGTCACAAGAAGTCAGACGCTACTAAGTGACCAACACACACACACACATCTTCCCAGGGGAGGAACAAACTAATTTATGGGAAATATAAAGCAAAGGTATTTCTAAATATCAGAACTATATTCACTATTTCCATAAAATATATATATTTCACAAATTCATTAACTTACTAGCTTTTTGCTTTCTGTTTTCCTATGTTGTGTTCCTTTATTAACCAAATCTAGCACTTTACAACATAGCAAACTTTGAATCAATCCACATAAAGCTTCTATGAGGACAGAAATAAACATAACACTTTTGATGGTAAATTATTATTCAATAAATATTGGTGGCTTCAAAGTCTCAGTCACACCTAAAAATTACTACCAATTTAATACAAGTTAAAACCATCTTCCTGAAGTATGATATTTAGAATAATTTCTTAACAGTTGTTATTTTTCTAAGTATGTTCAGCATACTTAGCACATCCTAAAGTATTTCCTTGTTTTTTAAATGAAATATGAAATTATAATTTACATTATCCAGAACCCAGCTTCTTAATTAATCATGAAATTCTCTTTGTGGATACATTTTACATTCCTTTCAGCTTTTAATTGATTGTCCCCCTGCTGTGTAAAATAATTTTCTGTCTGAGATGCAGGTACCAGAGGAACACTTTCTTATTTCTGAGTTAAAATTATTTAATATTTCTCATTTAAAGCCTTCACATGTATTTTTATAAGTTTTGGCAAAAGGGGACTATAGAAGCTTCAAATTCCTGTAACACAAAATAGTACCTGTCAGAGATGACTCTGTGGACGTCATTAGAAAGGTGCGTTTTTTAGAAAGTCAAGTCACATAAGCACTTTTTCTAGAGTGGAAAGAGACCAACACAGGGAGGCCAGCTCCTGAATTTGAAACATCAGTTTTCTTCAAAAGAACCCTGAGAGCAGAGAAGCGTCCCTGTTTATGTTTCCACTTCAGGGTTAGATTCTCCATTTTAATTTGGTATTCAAAGAAGTAGAACAAAAAAAATTTAAAACCTTAAATATGTTGAGACTAGTATTTATGGTATGAGATAAAATTGAGATCATTTCCTGCCTGCAAGTCATCAGTAGGTATAGGAAGTATACGTGAGATATTCAGAACCGGGAGTGCTTCTGAGCATGGTTGCCCAAGAGTGAAAGGGGACAAATTTTATATCAAGGGATGTGAACACAGGAGGAGGGAGTGGGCAATATGAGTGCAGTGTTTATAGAGAAAGATGCTTCCTCAATTCTCTCCCAAAAGGAAGACAAAGAAGTTTTAAAGCCACTCAAGTTTACGAGATTTGCTAGAGGGAGAGACTGACACTTTGTTCCTCAGCTGGATGTCTCAGTGGTGTCTCATATATTATCTCCCTTATCTCCAAACATCCTGTACATGAGTACTTAAAACACAAGTACAGAAGTTGTTTTATCGGTAAGAAAACTGAGCACAGAAGGATCAGGAGACTTGTCTAAAGTTTCCCAGTAAATGGCTCAATACAGAATAAGAACAGCTCTATTGGCCACCAGTTAAGTATTTCCTTAACTTCACTGCAGATTCCGCACAGAGAGCTAGCCTGCGAGCGCACACTAGCTACTCCCTCTTAATCCGCAGCTGGTGTAGAGAAAACGGAACTCCAGGATACAGTCAGTGCTGTCCAATCAAACTTTCCGAGATGATGGCTATGTTCCAGTGAAGCACCTGAAATATGGTTAGTGCAACTGAACTCTAAACTTTATTTAATTGTAATAAAGTTTAAATAACCAGATGTGGCCAGTGGCTACCATATTGGCTGGTGCAGCTGCAAAACACAGTTTCTCCAGCTATGGTTTGTGACCCACTAGTTCATCATGACATCAATTTAGGAGGTTCTAAATAACAGTGAAAAAAAAATGAAAACAAAAAAATATGTTTCTCTCTACTTACATTACCCATATGCTCTTGCATGTTGTCTATTTTTCCATCACAGCCCTTAACATATTAATCATAGTTGTATAAAATTCCCTGTCTGATAATTCCAACATCTGTGTCACACCTGTCTGGTCTGATGTGCGTTTTATCTCTCTGGACTGTTTTCCTTTGCTTTCTGGCATGTCTTGTAATTTCTTGTCGAAAAGTAGATATGTTGTTTGGGGTGAAAAGTGAAAGTGAAAGTTGCTCAGTCGTGTCCAACTCCTTGTGACCCCATGGACTGTAGCCCACCAGGCTTCTCTGTCCATGGGATCCCCCAGGCAAGAATACAGGAATGGGTTGCCATTTCCTTCTCCAGGGGATCTTCCCGACCCAGGGATTGAATCTGGGTCTACCATATTGCAGGCAGATTTTTCACTGACTGAACCACCAGGGTTATTTGTTTGGGGTATAAGAAGTAAAGTAGGTAAGGGTGTAATGAGAGTAATCTCTCTAGGAGTTGGACTGTATCTGCTGTTTGCTGTAGCTGGCGGTGCCAAAGTCTTTGACTTCCTCTCTTATCCTTGTCTTCTCTCTTGATCGTGTGCTGCCCTAAGTACTGCTCCTCAGAAAGACACTGCATCTTGCATGCTTTCAACTGTAACCCACTGTCATTACCCTGCTGTGGTAATCGTCAAGTTGGCTGGAGGGGAGCACTTTCATCTTGTGATTCTCAGTCTTTTAGTGGGCCTGTGTCTTTTGCTGTGACCTCCACTAGCGCTTCTGCCATGGCGTAGCTTTCTTTTCCTCCTTAAATGAGACAGAAAGGCTAGAGGGGGCGCCCTTCCTCAGGCAGGATGAGACTCTGGTAAAATGTTTCCCCCTGAAAAGTAGACCTTCGTTATGGAGAACACATGGAGAGTATTTCCCCTTGATTATGCTTCCTCTGACCCAGCAGAATCTTCCAGATCTTTCTTAGATCTTCACTGTATGAATCTGATGGGATTCCTGAAGATAAATTCCACAAAATTACAGGTGCCTCATAAGACAACTCAGTGGTAAAGAATCCATTCACCTGTCAATGCAGGAGACTCAGGAGACTCAGGCTTGATCCCTGGGTTGGGAAGATCCCCTGGAGAAGGAGATGGCAACTCACTCCAGTATTTTTGCCTTGAAAATCCCATGGACAGAGGAGCCTGGTGGGCTACGGTCCATGGGGTCACAAGGAGTCAGACACGACTGAGCACACAGCACACTTAAGATGGCAGCCTCCAGGAGTCTCTTACTTGTGAGCTAATTCACACTTAGCCTTCGGCAGTTCATGAGAATTACCATTTAGGTGTTCTTACCAGTTTACGGCTCCAGAGACTTCTGCCCCAGGTAAGCAGATCTTAGATGTCACTCTAGATTTACCTTTTTCTCCACATTTTGTAATGGTTGTTTGCTCTCCAACTTCAGTTCTCCAACGAGTTCAAGAAAAGTCACTGATTTTCAGTTTATTCAGTTTTTTCTTGTTGTAAGAATGGGAGTGCAACTTTCAAGCTCTTTACATGTCATGGCTGAAACCATTAGTCTAAGCATTGCTTTTAAAAACCTTTGTTTTCATTATGTATTCATGCATACATACTGCATCATAACATAAAATGTAGTTCTTGCTAGGGTTCAAAAATTTTTAAGAAACAGTACCACGAGGCAGAGAAAGTAAGACTCTGGGGCCATTTCTGCTGTGCCATGTCCCATCCATAGTCCCATACTTGTTCATGGAACTATCCTGTATATTGTTACATAACAGGCAATATTTTGTGAGAAAATCTATCATTAATTTAGAGGATACACTGGTTGAAAAAAAGAGTTGGAGAGGTTTAATTAGAATAACTGGTAAATAATAGTTTATTTTTACTATAAATTAGTTGTTCAATCACATAGATAATATTATAGTCTCATATATCTTGGAAAATATGGAATAACAGTTTTCTATTTTTCTGAAAAATATCTAAAATTTGACATTTTATTCTTTCCACTGCTCTTAGCTACTAGGTAAACTGAACATAAAATCTTAATGTGAATAATTTTATTTGACATTTTGATTTGGTATTTCAGAAGTATTATCTCAGTACTTCTTAATTTGCAATACTGATTTTTCTGTAGTGATTTTAGTCTAACTAGATTTAGCTTAACTTCTAAACTAATTAGAAATTGCTGTTCATTAAATCATTTTAAAAATGTGACATAAGGAAATAACAGGCTTTGGAAGAAAAGCAAAAGAAACAGAATTCTTTCTCATTTCACTTCTGCATGTCCTTGTCCATGATAGGAAGCAGTGTCTAAGATGTTTATAAATGGTTCGCATAGAGTCTTCCCTTTCTATAATCCAATTCTGATCGAAGCTGTGTGAGGATATCCACAGAAGGGACACATACTTTATATAACATAACAGAAAAGATTTGTAAATGCTCTGTAAATGGATTTCACTAGAGTTATATTCTAAAAAGAAAACAAAAAAGCTCTGGATGCATTTGACATACTCTAATTTTTGACTACGTTTCCAAATTCATAATAAGATTGAATATCTTTGTACTTTAAAATACTTAAATTCACATTTATAAAGTTTTATTCTCTGATTGTAAAAGGACATCATAAATTAAAAACCAGCAAGTCCTACATTTATATCAAAACATCCAGAAATTAATATATTAGATTTTGATTTTAGTACAATTATAAAGACAAGTCTGTATATTTCACCTGGAATTTTAAATCTGATATGATTTATCATGTTGAAGCAAACTTGGATAATAAATGGTTAGGTTCATAATTTAAAAAAGGAAAAGAGAGAAGACTGTATATAGATATGGTACCAAGATGATAAAATAGTGAAAAAGAACTATGCACTATGCTTTCCAAACAAGCAAAAATATACTCAGGGGCATGGCAGAAACAAAAAAACAAAAAAAAAAGAAGAAGAAGAAGAAAATTACAAATGAAAATCCAAATGTTTGCTCATCCTGTTACAATAAAGTGAATGATTTTAATTCCCTAATTTAATAGCTAACATTTAAAGTGCTCTTCGCTGACACAGTTAAAAGTACATGATATTACTGCCTGTCATTTCACCACATGGTACATAGGCTAATTTCTCATAATTTACACATTCCTGCTTTTGCAAACTCAGATTAATAATAACAGCCTTGGACATGTGAAAGCTAAACACAGGAAACACCTGCAGAACAATATTAGTTTCTGTAGAGAAGTGAAACCATTTACCAGAAATTTATTGAAAGAAACTCAGAATGATGTTTTATATTTATTAAAGCATAAAAAATTTCTTACCTAAAGCTTTCATACTCCAGACACTTTTATTCCAGAGGGCTGGCTGTGTTCTAATGCATTTACTATTTGATGTAAATTCAACCTCCACAGCATCACTGGTTACTTCATCTCTCAAAATAATAAATATTTCACCAGGATTCTATACAATGAAAAATATAACTCAATTAGGCATTTGAAAAGTTTTCATTAACCAATCAAATACATTTATTAGTGATAAAGGTCCAACATGGTCATTAGTGTAAAGAGCGTGCCTGCCAGGCAGGAGACCCGGGTTTGATCTCTTGGTGGGACAGATCCCTTGAAGGAGGAAATGGCAATCCACCTCAGTATTCTTGCCTGGGAAGCCCCATAGACAGAGGAGCACGATGGGCTACTGTCCATGGGGTTGCAAATGTAGGACACAACTTAGGGACTAACTAAGCCATCACCACCATCGTGTCCATAGTTTCAGCCTTACTCATAAACGCAATATGTTAAGCTGAGTCTCACAAGATTTTAAGTTTATCAACTTATGTCTATTGAATACTTATTTTTCCCCAGCACCATATTTTGCAAATGAATAGACTGAGTTCATAGCTGCTCGCTTTTCCTTTCACCTCATCCCTGTGTGAGAGGTTCTATGTGAAGGTGATGAGCATCATTTCACAGACCTGCAGGGAATGTAATTCGACTGTTAAGCAAATTCTTCTTGTCCCCAAATCCCTTTCCTTCACCTTTCTAGGACTTGGTGTATTTATCTATAAATAAGAGGATTGAACATGTTTCACTTGAAGACCTCTTATACTTTAAATATGATTAACTGGTTTAGATGTCTAATACAGTTGGCCCTTGAACAACACAACTCTTAGGAGCACCTACTGGCCCTCAGTACAGTAGAAAATCCATATAAGATTGATAGTACGCCCTCTGCAACAGCAGTATCCTGATTCAACCAACTGCAGGTCATGTTGTACTGGGGTATTTGCTACTGAGAAAAATCCATGTATAAATGGACCCATGCAATTCAAAACCCCTATTGTTCAAGGGTCAGGTGTATTGTTAATCTTACCAATAAGAGATTCTTCCATTACTCTTTATGATGAATACAAGTGAAGGCTGTTGGGTTGACTAGAGGTTATAAATCTAAAAGTTTCAAGATTTTATTATGATGGAAAAGCTGCTGCTGCTGCTGCTGCTGCTAAGTCGCTTCAGTCAAGTCCGACTCTGTGCGATCCCATAGACAGCAGCCCACCAGACTTATCCTGGGATTCTCCAGGCAAGAACACTGGAGTGGGTTGTGATTTCCTTCTCCAATGCATGAAAGTGAAAAGTGAAAGGGAAGTCGCTCAGTCATGTCCAACTCTTAGCGACCCCATGGACTGCAGCCTACCAGGCTCCTCCGTCCATGGGATTTTCCAGGCAAGAGTACTGGAGTGGGGTGCCATTGCTTTCTCTGGTGGAAAAGCTAGGGAAGCCCAAATCTATGTACATAATATTCAAATTGCCAACATCTGTTGGATCATAGAAAAAGCAATAGAATTCTAGAAAAAAAAATATAAATATACTTCTGTTTCATTGTCTGTATTAAAAACATTGACTGTGTGGATCACAACAAACTGGGGGGAATTCTTAAAGTGATGGGAATACCAGACTACCCCCCGCTTCCAGAGAAACCTGTATGCAGGTCAAGAAGAAACAGTTAGAACCGGACATGGAATGATTGGTTCAAAATTGGGAAAGGAGTATATCAAGGCTGTATATCATTACCCTGCTGATTTATTTTATATGCAGTATACATCATGTGAAATGCTGGCCTGGATGAAACATAAGCTGGAATCAAGATTTCCATGAGAAATAGCAACAATCTCAGATATGCAGATGCTACCACCCTAATGGCAGAAAGCGAAGAGGAAAATAAAAGAGGAGAGTGAAATATCTGGCTTAAAATTCAGCATTCAAAAAACTAAGATCATAGCATCCGGTCCCATCACTTCATGGCAGATAGAAGGGTAAGAAATGGAAACTGTGACAGATTTTATTTTCTTGGGCTCCAAAATCACTGCAGAGAATGACTGCACCCATGAAATTAAAAGACTCTTGCTCCTTGGAAGAAAAGCTATGACAAACCTAGACAGGGTATTAAAACGCAGGGCCATCACTTTGCTGACAAAGGTCCATATATAGTCAAAGCTATGGTTTTCCCAGTAGTCATGTATGGATGCGAGAGTTGGACCATAAAGAAAGTTGAGCGCTGAAGAATTGATGTTTATGAACTGTGGTGCTGAATAAGACTCTTGAGAGTTCCTTGGACAGCAAGGAGATCAAACCAGTCAATCCTAAAGGAAACCAACCCTGAACATTCATTGGAAGGATTGATGCTGAAGTTGAAGTGCCAATACTTTGGCCACCTGATGGGAAGAGCTGACTCACTGGAAAAGACCCTGATAAGGGAAAGATTGAGGACAGGAAGAGAAGGGGATAACAGAGGATGAGATGGTTGGATGGCATCACAGACTCAATGGATATGAGTTTGAGCAGACTCCAGGAGACAGTGACGGACAGAGAAGACTGGTGTGATGCAGTCCAGGGGGCTGCAAAGAGCTGGACGTGACTTAGCGACTGAACAACTACAAAGATGTAAGGGGTTATTGAAAAACCTTTTTGAAAAAAAAAAACCCTGAAAGAAAACTAAGGATAAGAAGATTGGATTTAATACAGAGAAAAGAAAGGGATAAACATCTTTTGAGCATCTGTTTTATACTGGATTTTCCAGATGAAACAGTGGTAAAGAATCCACCTGCCAATTCAGGAGATGTAAGAGACACACTGGAATCAGGATTGCCGGGAGAAATATAAATAACCTCAGATATGCAGATGACATCACCCTTATGACAGAAGGTGAAGAAGAACTAAAGAGCCTCTTGATGAAAGTGAAAGAGGAGAGTGAAAAAGTTGGCTTAAAGCTCAACATTCAGAAAACTAAGATCATGATCATTGGAAGGACTGATGCTGAAGCTGAAACTCCAGTACTTTGGCCACTTCATGCAAAGAGCTGACTCATTGGAAAAGACCCTGATGCTGGGAAAGATTGAGGGCAGTAGGAGAAGGGGACGACAGAGGATGAGATGGCTGGATGGCATCACCAACCTGATGGACATGAGTTTGAATGAACTCCGGGAGTTGGTGATGGACAGGGAGGCCTGACGTGCTGCGATTCATGGGGTCGCAAAGAGTCGGACACGACTGAGCGACTGAACTGAAGAGACATGGGTTCAGTCCCTGGATCAGGAAGATTCCCTGGAGGAGAAAACGACACCCCACTCCAGTATTCTTGCCTGGCAAATTCCAGGGACAGAGGAGCCTGGTAGGCTACAGTCCATGAAATCACAAAGAGTTAGACATGACAGAGTGACTTGAGTATGCATTCATGTATTTCATACTAGCTAATCACTTTTTATATAAAACCATTTCCTTTAATCCTAACCAAAACACACACACACACACACACACACACACACACACACACCTCAAAAACCAATATGGAAGGCTATTATATTTCTCTTTTATGCAGAGAGTTATGAATACAAAGATTTACATTCTGAAAATCAATCAGAATTATCTAAATTCAAACTCTGTACTATTGTTTACATGACACTATTCCAACATTCAAAGTAACTAAAATGAAATATTTTATGATTATCTCAGATATCACCTTTCAAAGGCTTTCTTCAAAGTCAAACTGAATTTCAGTCTTTCACAAAGTAAACAGGAATCCCATTTATAGGCTCTTATAAAACTGTGTTTACCCAAAAGTCATTAATTTCAAAGTTTTCTTATTTAAATATTATTTCCCTAAGCATAAATCACCCACCAATAAAACTTACATTTTAATGCTCTGTACCATGGGGTTTTTACAAATATGTTGATGTTAAAAAAAATCATTTCAGCTGACACACATCCACCTCTGGCATTTTTCCAGCAGAGTCTAGCGCTCCCAAGTATTTGTCCACAGGATATTCTGAACTAAATTTCTCTATATCAGTTAAATTGCACTTTGAGAAAAGATCCCATGCCACCTACTGCTCTGGCTTCACACATCCGACCTATGGGAAGTGCTTCTGTTTCTCGGCCTATGCCTCCTCATGCACTACTTCATCTGAGTCTGAGGTCAGTAACTGGAGCTCCTTCCAGGCCGCACTCCTGCCATCTCCTCTTTGGAGACCACATTTCCAAGGCAGTTCCTTAGTCCCTCACTTGCTCACATCTGTCTCCTTACTTTGCAGCTTTAATGACTTCCCATTTTCACTCTGGCTCAAATCCAGCTTCAAAGTTCTTTGGAGTTTTCTTCTATGAGTACATCCCTTCCTGTAAAACTCGGACCTCTCGCCTTCCAAACAGTAAACCCGAGCATCCTCTCCTGGTGTTTATTCAGCCAGCAACTCATTTTCATTCATGGGTGCTCACATGCCATGCAGCGCTAAGTTGCTGTAGTCATGTCCGACTCTTTGCGATGCTATGGACTGTAGCCTGTCAGGCTCCTCTGTCCATGCAGTTCTCCAGCAAGAATACTGGAGTGGGCTTCTATTTCCTCCTCCAGGGGATCTTCCCAACCCAGAGATTGAACCCATGTCTCTTAAGTCTCCTCCTGCATTGGCAGGCAAATTCTTTACCACTGGTGCCATGTGGGAAGCCGGGTGCGTCCATGGGCTGCTTCTTATGCACCAGATTCTCTTCTACCTTTCAACCATCTCCAGAGAAGAGGTCTAAACAAAAGATAAGCACACTGACCACCCCCAAGGAGGCATTGACACCTCATTTGTAACTGGAACAAGCTTCAAGGGCATGTAATCTCTGAAGATGCACAGAACCTGTTTTAATGTTCTGCTATCACACCTTGAAATGCTTAATAATTAGACCTGGGGTCTCTACCTTTTCATTTTACACTGGGCCCTGCTAATTAGGAAGCCTCTCCTATTTGCACATAATGTTGGCATGCTCTTGAGTTCCTACTCTCCCTCCATCTCCTCATACTTATCCTCTTCACCAAGGTCCAACTCAGGTTTCGCGTACAACTTCCAAAGGGATCATAAAACATTTCACACCTGTACTCCTCATTTGACCCTTTCTAAGTCATGCCCTCTGGTCTTAATAAGTTTTTAA